AAATGAATAAATTGCTCATTTATTTTGGCCGTGTTCAGTGAACTTGAGCAAAGAGTAGAATAAAAACGAAAAAGTACAGAGCGAGTAGTAAGCAGCGAATAAATATGGAGTCCAAAGCACATCTTCACTAATAAAAAGTGTTTAAAAAAAGCAGCGAAAAGAAAACCAGCAATGCAGCGAGTTCAATGCAGGGCTGGGGAGCCCAGGGTGGTATAAAATATCCGCAAAAATAATTCGAAGAAATTTGTTTTATGTAACGACTTGCCATTTATATACGCCTGTCATTGCGCTTTCCGCGCTCTCACTAATTCGGTACATATATCAATGAAGTTTCCACGGGACGGAGCGTGTGGCTGCGAGTTTTGGTTGACAGTTGTAGCTATTGCTCACTATGTGTAGCGCTATCTCGGTTTGTGGAGGCAGACACATATGTTACTTGCGCGAACTCTTCCAACTACAGAAGCATATTATGGAGCTTAATTGCTAATCCCGCTATCATTGTTATAAGCAACTGGTAATGACAGTTAGGCGCGTGGCAGTCGGCGTTCACAAATCCGATATTATATACTTCAAGTCAATTGTTCTTTTGGATTTTTGTGCAACACTTTTTTTAACTTTTTTTTTTGTACTTCTCTTGATTATCGATTTTCTCTTTAAAGAACCCAGAATTGTTTTGTGGCGACAGAAATAACTTCACTGTTAAGGAGAGAGTGGCTAACTCTGAATCTAGATATTTGCGGCCAACCATTTTCAATTGAAAAGCATGAATGACGCTAAGACATTTTATCGACAAACTTTAAGCGTTGAAAGTTTTAGAGAACTTATGGTAAAGTCACAACTACCATATGTATGTGTGTATGCGGGATGTTGATGGAAGCTACCATGTGACATGAGAACAGTTACAAAGTTCAGTGAACTGCTCGTAATATAATGTTGAAAACAACAACAACACTAATAAAGTTGAAAAAGTTCGAACCGCATCTAATTTTATTTGAATGTTTTTGTGGCACCAAAGCGGTTTTTTGATTGCCTTTGAGCTGTGACTGAACAAGCACAGTAACCGCAAATGAAAAGCAAGGAATTTGTGCTGAAATTTCAATTTTGATCGAAAGTGGTAATTTTATATACATACATATGAACAGAAAAGATTATTGTATTTAAGCGAAAGTTATTTCGTCAGTAATAAGTGTATTGTAAAAAATAACTATGTCGTAGGAAGTATTCAGTGTTTGCCGAAAATCTTGAAGATATTGAAAATTCAGCTTTTAATAGCAATTTAATACATTTGAGGAGTAAAACACACATTGTAGCCCGGAAATGCGAACAATTTCGCGAAGCTTCAACTTATAACGGTGTGAGCAATCAATGACTATGCATACAGAATTTGTAAAATTAAATGTGTCAATTTTTAATTTAAAAGAAGTTGATACATGCTTCTAACAGTTTGAAAATAAAAAAAAACAGAATCACGTGCTCTTAACGGCTCACTAAGGCCTAACTAAGTCAGTTGAATAGATTAGTCACCACGGCAATGTGATAGGCATCTGGGCAATATTTTGTACACATATTAATTTGATCTGAAATATAATTCATCCAATAATAAATACAAACAATTTATATAAGGGAGATTGATATTTACGGGTATAAGGGAAGTCTCTTAATGGAACTCCGAACCTGCATACATGGAGGATATGAGGATGAAACAGATGATACCCATCCACATTCGTCGTTTTGTTCTTCTCTATCTTCGCTTACTTCGCATGCGACCAATTTTCGTTACTTTCTTTTTGTTATATGCCTTGCCAAAATATATATATGTAATACTTTTAATACTCCACGTTCAGCTACCCAGCTCCTTCCTTATTTATTTTTTATTTATAAAAGTGTATTAGATAAATTGAGTTTGACCTCAGGTGCACTCTGTGATTCTCTCGAATACTTTCAATAATCTATCTATAGCTGAAAGTAAGTAATCCTTCGCCTATTTCTAAGAACCTTTGTTTTGAACTCGGGCTGTTATCTACTGAAAGAATTTCTAATTTATTTTGGCTTACTTAATATGTACATATGCATCTTTGTATATATGTATGTATGTACTTAAGCATATTTTCGCATGTGTGTGAGTTGTTGTTGTCGCTGCTTCTGCCGCAATAAACAAGATAACCAATTACGCCACGTGTGTGCTAATTGCAGACGACAGTTCCCGCCAACGAGACAGCCGCCCAGCAGCTAGAGCTTTGGCAACCGGCAGCACTTAGGAACAAAAATATAAACAAAAACCAAAAAGTGAGGAAAACGTCGCCTCCGTCAACAGATACATTAGGAATTCAGCATACATTGGCCACCATGGCAACTGGTATGCTTGTCCGCCTGGAACACACACACACGTAGGCGCATTTATGCGGAAACAATGCAGTGTGGGCAAAACATGAGCAACAACCTACATAATCACATGTTGTCATGTTTCGCCTCATCAGCAGCATTAGCAGCAGTAATCACAACAGCAGCAACAACACCAGCAACGGATGCCAGCGGCAAGAACATCCGCAACTTCCAAATTGTTGCAAACCGTTAACACATTTCGTTGTACTGTTAATTTCTATGCTCATTGCCGGTTTACGCTGAATTATATATTATTTACTTTTGTGTGTATGTAGGTATGTATTTGAGACCACATTTCGCACACATTTCTTGCGAATTCCCGAATACAAATAACAACCTAATTTTCGGCGGAAATGTGTCCCGCAGTGTGCCCAGCTGCCACGTGCCATCACTCACTCGGTTGACAATTATGTCGAGGCGCAGGCATCCAAATGCGGCGAATTGAGAATTTTAATGAAATGGATTTGCTTAAAATATAATATGATAACGAACTTGTGGCCCCTTAACAATGGAGGGTCTGCCAAAGCCCCACTCCAGGCATGTATATGTGTGTGTATATGCCGTTCAATGCCCCTTCAATTTCACTTTGATGACATAATTTAAAGTGGAAAAGTGTAATTTCAAGTTGAAATGCGCATTGTGGCCACAGCGGAGTCGGGTGCGGTGCGCTGTGCGGCGTGATCTCTCCATTATAAAAGTAGTTAAAAGCGTCTCGACGCAATTTGAGTAACAAAAGCATAAAGTAAGGCGTAAGGCCACCGAGGGCGATGTTATAAAATGAATGTCATTGGCTATTTTGACATTTCTTAACGTGTACACAACGTGACGTATGAGTGACACTAAAGTCGAAAACATGAACTTTCATCTTCGTAGGGGTATAAGTTAGCCGGCAGCGGCACTGTTACAACTGTATTGGTTCAAAAAGTTTCCCACATTTATATTTAATTCTCTGCCCCAAGGGAACACATATTTATACACAGTTATGTGTGTCTATTGTTTATCTTAAAATTATCACTTCTTTATCAACTATTGCATAGAAAAAAAGCGACCTAAATATAGCCTTGAACTCGCCTAAAAGTAAAAACAAAGCAAAAAATTTAAAAGTTAACAGAACAAAAATGTAGTTAAGACGTTGTGGGTATCAATAATGAAGTTGTTAATTTACTACTTGTCGCTGAAATTGCTAAAATTCGAAATCACTTGGAATTTAGACACGGTAGAATTCGAAACATCCTATCAGTCGAGACAGTGTCATATTGAAAATCAAATTGAATACGGTTAGTAGATAAAGTGTGTGTACTTTTCCAGGTTTGAAAGGAGGTTTGAACGCGAAAAAGTAGATACATTTTAATTCAGTGTATAAACAGTCTGACAATTTGATCTTCGAGATTACGTACGGCTTTGTACCGAAGAAGACGTACTTTATAGGTATTTGGTCTTCATTTTTACCTTAATTTACTTTACTAAAAAATTTTCAAATTACAATATAATTTTTTTAATTCTAAACTATAACATCCTTACATCTTCATGATGATTTATAGTGCCACATATATACCGGTTTAAAGTCTGAGGTAATTAAACATTTATTCCTATTTCTTAATTCCATACCAAAATACATCCACAAAGACACTATTTTAGATTTTGGATAATCGCACCAAAGTCATAAGTGACCTAATAATGTGGGTGCAAAGTAAAATCCTAATGTTGCAAATCCTTAAATAAACATTACCAGCCTTGTCTACTTGATTTGTAGGACTAATGCCATAATCCGGCCTTTGTGCCACAAAACCAAAAAACAAAGCAGAAATAAGAAAAATATAAACACAGAAACTCACAGTTGATAACGGAGCGTAAGTAAATGGAAAGCTTGCCTACAAATCAGCACAACAACTTTCACTCAGTGTCAAATGTCACCATAAACAAAAAACAAAAAAAAAACAAAAAAAAAAACAAAAAAACAATAGTTTTGTGTGGTTTGGCGATGAAAAGGATCAAGTAGGGTCAGTTTAAATATATTACAAAATGAAGGTGTTTTGGGTAAACGAGTGTAAGTGAAATTTATGGAAATCTCTTTCTCATAGTTAAAGCTAAAAAACTAACCTATCAAATTTATGGGTTAACATTTTTATATATAAAAAGCAAAAACTAGCTCTGTTTGGCAGGAATTTTAGCTTAATTTTAAATAGTGTGAGTGAACATTTAAAGTACCCCATTTACATAACACGAATGTTTAGTTGCACTGACTAATCCGAAAAAGTTTCAAAAAGTTGTACTCTCTCAGCCATCATTTATCTCACAATCGACATTGCCCTACATAGCATAGTTATACACTTCTACTTCTACTTATGATCGCTTCTGAGGATAGGTTTAATAGTCGGACTAAAACTAGTATTTTTTTTCAGAAGCTTGATATTTTCAAAGCTTAATATTATACATATATTTGTATCAATATGATTTAAATATCTTTCGAACAATGCTCTTCTAATATAGATTTCTAATTCAATTTAGTCGAAACCGTACAGTCGCAAGGAAATATATTAAAGCAATAAACAACAAAGCGCTTCAAGTTGTCAGCCAAAAAACTGAAAGATAAACAAGAAATTAAGAGCATTACATACCCATCTCGGCAAGCGCCCGTCATGGCGAGAGCTTTGTAGCGTGCCTGCTCGTCTGTCGGCAGCACAATGTCCACAGATCGCGAACGGGTCGCATTTATATTCGGCACGGTGAGGAAACAGCCATCCTCGCTGGGCTGCAGCTCCTCCGTTTTACCAGCCGACGACATTTTCGAAAAGCACGAGTCCACCGAGGCGGCACGGTCGCGCTTCAAATCAGGTACAGTTAGATAAATATCACGTACAACCAGCGCATGTTTAGCTGCAGTCGGCGAGCCACAAGTAGCCACTGTGGACGCCTCATCCACCGAGTCCACCGCTTCCACGGACGACTTGATATCCTCACCCTGTGACACGTTCTCCAGTGAATTACCTGTTGGCTCCACGAAAATCGCTTCTTGTCGTGAGATGGAGCGCCGACGTGGACGCATGGCGGTCGGTGAGGGCGGCACTGCTGCAGCGTCATCTGCATCCGCTGCGCTCAACCGGCTGCTAAAACCGGGTGGTGGCGGCAATGGCAAATCAAAGATGGGCGAATGAGGCAACAGTTCCAGTGGTGAGATGGGAGGTGGTGGTGGCAACTCCATCATTGGACTGTCGCACACGGACAGCGAAATGGATGGTGAAGGCGGTGGCGAACCGGGATCGATGGGGAGAGCATATGGAAAGGGCGGGCAATCACCGTTTGTGGGCGAAAGTGTAAATGTGATGCCGCAAGGTGTCGTCGACAAAGGTGGCAGCAACGTATTACCAAAGTGCGGCGAATCATGTTCGGATTCTTCCAGTCCTTCATCTTCCGATGTGGTCACCGAGCTGCCGATGGTATGTCGACGCATTTGACGTGGCAGACGTGCACGTGACTCCTCAATGCTGCTGCCCGTACTCAAGCCACCCAGTCTGATGTCCATCTCTAGTGCCGCATCATCGTATTCATATGAGCCACCACCAGTTTCGGTGCCATCGCCAGTAGCGGCATCCTCCTCATCGTCCTCTTCCTCCTCCACCACCTCATCGTCCGCCGTGACACTTACACCATCTATGTCTGTATCGTCGTCAGAACTGCTGTAACCGTATGACAGTGTTATCGATTCGCGCCGATCGCCTGCCATGTAACGCTGTTCAGACTTCTGCTGCTTCAAATACTCCTCCAAGTACATACAGTGCACGCAAGGTGGTGGCGTTTTCGTTGACGAACTCCGACGAGCCTTGCTACGTCGTGGCACTTCCAAGAATGTGCCTGAGTCATCGCTGCCCGCGGACGCCGCCGCCGAGTCGAAGGAATGTGAGCGTTGCGTGTGCGGGGCTTGCGGCACCTGCAGCAGACCCGTGTCCAGCGAACGTTCATCCGTCGATGACGATGACTGCTGCTTGAGCAGGTGAGACGAAACGCGTTGCGCCTCTAATTGCATTTCATCAAACGAAGCGGAACGCACCTGTTGGCGGGCCAGAGGCGCGAATAATTACCATTCATTATTCACAAACCAAACGCGCGGAGGGATTGAGAAAAGAGAAAAGTGGAAGAGAACATGTTGAGGTTATTAAGTGCCGTACGGTGCTGCTGTTGCACACTTATAATTTGCTTTAATTTACGACGAGGTTGCATGCAAACACTTATACAACCGTACAATTACAAAAACAATAACTATAAAAATGTAAGCTCAGCTGCGTGCTACGCTTAAAATAGAAATAAAGCTAAACAATAGAATTTTAAACACATTTTGAAATTTAGAACGGATATGCAGGCTGGTTGATGAGGGGTGTGGTGCATGCGGTGTGTGGACATGCAATTAGATATGAGCGTGTGATGTGTGTAAAGAACATGTTAAAAAACAACATGCATGGCTGGCAACTGGAACGGAAGTGGTCAACGGTCCTTGCTGCCAATTATAACAGGGATATGCACTCACAAAGAGCGGGCGAACTAAATACCATGCAACTTGGAATGGTTGGTATGGACTATGTTAAATCAATTCAAAGGTTTTTATTATATTAATATTACTTTTTAGTTATATATTTTTTTTGAATTTTATATTTTTTTAATAGTTCTACAATTCATAATCTGGAAACTTAATATCTTTCAATTACTGTTAAAAGAACAAACAGACAGAAACAACATTCTCAGCAGAGCAACCCATTTCCCTTAACCAAATAAAAATAAATATTTTAAATAACAAATAAACAATATGTAGCCGCATGCGTGTGTGTGTGTGTACTCGGGGGTGTAGACGTCGGTTTAAGCGGATTAACACTGAAAGGTGTGCAAAATGAGTGACAAGCATCGTTTTTATTGTCTTTGGTTTTGCAGTACCGTCGCAAATAACTGTCCAGGGGCTATAACAACCACACAAATATTATTTATTGTACATAAAAGCATTTGTAGTTGTGTGTAGTCGCTGTGTTTGTGTGCTGGCAGGTGCTTTTGCGCAAATATGCTGATCATATGTCAAAAGGGATTTACATGTGAAATTTATGATTATTACGACAGCAGTCCGTTAACGGTATTGTTTTTGCTGCCACCCTACTGGTCGGCTGGTTGGCATCGTGCTACTTTTTGGTTTTGATTATATTCGTTACTTGTTTCACTTTTGCACGAATATCCGCCAATTTTCACACATATTACGCCTAAAAGTATGCAAATATGTATTTATAAATGAGATTTACATGCAACACGTGTCATTCCAATCACGTGCCCATGTGTATATGTGTGGAGTGGTGTACAATGTAGCATGTCACCCGATCAAATGGCAAATACACCAGCCAATGGAATTCACACGTATACACATACATGTATTTTTACATAGAGAATGATGTTGTGAGAAAAGTATAATTTTCATAACAGTTGTTATAATTTTTGTTATGTTTTTCACATTTACTGTGTGATTTACCGTTATTTTGTTCATATTCGTGCTTGCACCTTTTTATGTACTTGCGAATTATTTTCCATATAGTCATCGTGTGCGGATACACGGATCATGCCTTAAAGTTGGGGAAAATGTTAATAAAAAAGAACGAGGTTGAACTCATGCTTTTGACCTGGTGGTATGAATCCATCTAAATTGAAGTTAGTTTAGCTAATTTATTATAGATCCTTTTTAACCTAAGAAAAGGCACTTGGAAGGAATCTTAATATACCCTGGCTATCTACTCTGTACCGTACAATTTTTGTCATTCGCATATCTATGAAAAAATATGAAACTGCGACCGTTGAATTATTGGTGGTGGATATTAATGAAGTTGGTGGTGGATATTCGAGTCTCGCTGCGGGAAAAATTTAGATATCAGCATGCTTTAAGGTGTTGAGAGATGATGAAGCCGGTATTTAACAGTGACTTAATGTTGATGAATTTGTGTACAGTATAAAATTTATAAGAATCCATTCAAATGGAACAATTTAAATTATATTTTCATTATTTAATGTTGGTTTTTAAAGATTGCCATGCAACATGAAGAAATATTGTGCTAATAACAAAAAATCAACAAAATAAGTGTGCTGTTGCACACTTATAATTTGCTTTAATTTACGACGAGGTTGCATGCAAACCACTTATACAACCGTACAATTACAAAAACAATAACTTTAAAAATGTAGGCTCAGCTGCGTGTTGCGCTTAAAACTATATATATAAACGCTATATAAAAAGCTTTAATATTTAAAGGCGGCATGCTCGCTCACGCAACTTTGGGGTGTAAGGACATAACAATAAAGCAACAACAGCAACAAAATCAAGTACAACAATTTTAAGAAAAGTAAAAAATTCTACAATTATCATTCACAAGGCCTTCGCACCTGTTTCGGCACCTCGAGACTGTTTTGGGTCTTCATCTCGGCGCCAGTGGGGGTGCGCGAGCGCGTGAAAGTCGTACGCAGACGCTGCATTTTGCCGTAATTTCTTCTGCACAAGTGTTAAATACGCCTTGCTGTTGCTGGATTCCCTTCGCTATGCTATTCGTTCTTAATTTTTGGCTTGTTTAATTGCAGGCTCTCTTTAAGTGCCCGCTTGGCTTGTTATCTGTCCTCCTCTGCCTTCTTTACTTGGTTGTCTTATCTTTATTTATTTCGGTAAATTACTGTATCGTTTCTGATATTGTTTTCACTGTTGACTACTTTGAGCTGTCAATAACAACACTTTAACTGTTATTCAAGACTAGTTGGTATTTATGTTTTTTGGGCGGATGTTGATGGGCACTACGTGGCCTTAATGTAAATTTTTGGTTTCTGCTTTTTTTGGCTCTTCGACGATATTGCTTTTGTTGTTCTTCTTGTTGTTGTTGCTGTAAGCGCATCTTGTAATTAGCCACACTGTTGTTATTGCAGTTACAGCTTGTGTTGTTGTTGTTATCGCTGTTGATATCGCTTTGATTACCGTTATTAACGCTGACAGCTACAGTTTCCCTTGATTTACAGTATGTAGGTAACGGTTCATTAGCTTCGATTTTGCTAAACACTCGGCGCTCGAACCGATGCAGCGTACAAATTACCGACAATGACCAACGAGAAGCGGCAATTAAATAGGCAACACATGTACTAAGAACATCATTTTGCTTTTGCTGAGCGAAATTAACAGCTGCCTCTCTGGCGTCTTCAAATCCCATTTTCGTTGTAACGACTCACTGTGGATTTGCACTTCGATTACTTTCCTTTCGGCAGCTCTCCTTTGAAGTCATTGGTGATTTCAATACCGGCAAACACTTGGCCAGCACCGTTATTGTTGTTGTTATTGTATTGCTTTTTGTTGCTATACGGTGATTCCGGCGTCTTTTGGGTATATTTAGAGCTAAATCGTTGTTTTTACCGTTGTTGCCTTGTTTAACGCGCGATTTTTTGCCTTTGGTTTGATTGTCTTCACGTCATTTGTACACAACAGCAAAACGAAAATGCGACAGCTGTGAGAAACACGAAGTTAAAGTAATAGCTGTAAGTTTTTGAGAGAAAAAAAAATCGAACGTAGAAGAGAGGGAAGAAAAAGAAAACTTTTAATTGAGCGTAATTTATAAAAATGTATTTTTCTTAAATGTTTTGTTTCTTTTTTTTTGCCAACTTCAAATGGTCATTGGCCTTGTGCAAGTGAAATAATGTATGGCGCTTAAAAGAACACTTATACCTAATTTAAAAATTTCACTTTCCATTTTCATTTAAATACTCATACATTTCAATTTAATTAAATTTTTGCGACGCACGGAAATGTTCGCTGAAAATTTCACACGTTTAGTTTAAGTGGCCACCTCAACGGGGTTCAAATAATATTACATTTCATTCAGTTAAACTCAATTACATAGATAATAAATAAAAATACACATCATTCAATATATAAAACATATAGCAAATTGCCATACATTATAATATTGTAGGGATCAAAAGCCTCTTCCATCTGATCAATTAGTGTGCGTTTGGCAGATGTTTGTTTACTACGCGAAAAGTTTGCCTGGCGATTTTGGCAATGAAAAAAAAATTTACACCGAGTTTGAACTAAAATACGTAAAAAAGTTGTTTTTTCTCAGTCCGAGTCGGATATATACCAAATATGATGCAATATTTAATAGTTTATTTTCAGAAAAGCAAATACTTTAATGTAAGATTCAATTCTGAGCTACTACTTTTGTTGTTGTAAATATTGACCAAATTTTCTATAAAGAAACAATTATATTACTTAATGTTATACAAACTATACTCAATGCGCTGTAATTAAAATTTATAAAATTTCTATTTCCTTTGAAATTACATTAAACAAAAGCAGGCTTGCAAATAATGCACTGAGTTAAAAATTAAATTTTAATTTATTTTAATTTTAAATCCCAAATTTTTGAATTAAAAAATTCGCAACTCTGAACAAAAGCCTAAATATTACCTTTACTTTGAAATTTTGGCCAAGTCCAGTTGGTACTATTCCATAATAAGAGTAACTGTATTGCCCTTCAAACGGGTTTCTCGATTTAATTGACAAATTATTTGTTTTTCGTAAATAACAGATGTCACAATAGATTTAAAAGTACAATTTTTAAAAATAATTACGACATTTTTAAAATGTAAACTTTACAATAGAAAGGATTTACTATGAAAATCGACAACCGAAAATTATTTGTGAAGGCAAAATCGAACACAGATAATATTATAAATGAATAAATCTTTATTTGCATACACACACACACATTCATATTCATTTCGATTATTTTTACATTTTTTACCTTTACATTTTTATAATTTTGTGTATACATGCATGTGTGTATGTGGGAGAGTGTGTTACGGATGTGTACAATTTCCGATGATTTGCTGTTAGTTGGCCGGTGGACCTACAAGTTACTTTCATATTTTGTGTGTGATGTGTAAATATTGACGCGAACACACTCACTCAGACGAGTATATATGTATATCTATGCAAGCAAATAAACAGACACACACATAAGCACACATTTCGAAGGATTTATATAGTAGCTTTTATAGTTGGATGTATTGCCTTGATTTATCAACTGACTTTGCATATTCAAAAATGTCGGAAAATTCAGCTGAAATATTACTTCTATTATTCCTATTGCTGCTATTTTTAGTGTAATCTTCTTGCGCCTTTAGAGTTATTGAACCTTGAAGAGTTCAAAAGCACATATTGACAATTGATTAACAATTCATGTTTAAATTTATTATTTAATAATTCGATGCGATTTCGAGGATGAAAAGCAAATATTTAAAATCAAAAACAAAAAATACATGTATGTACATACATAGTAAATATGTGCAGAAATCTGTTTTGAATAAGCGAGTAAATGAATCAGTATTACGATGAACGTAATAATGATGTAATTCATAGTCACGGTGTTTATTTTTTTGTAACAATAAAAATGTATATGCATTTTTTAAGTTCCATAAATTAAACCATTTGAAGTTTTAAAAATTAAACTGCGGTTTCTTTTTTTATAAAAAATTTTTTAAAATTATTTTTGGATCCGATATTTTTCTGTTTTGGTTCCATGCTATAAACTGTTTTGTATTCGATTAACATTTTCAGGGCTTAAAATATATTATTTTTAACTCAACTTTTTGACTCAACTTTTTGAACTTATAAATTTCTATAGATAAAATGTAAACGTTTTCTTGGGACTATGAGATATTTATTATAGCTGTTGTTAAATATTTTTGAATCGAGTTGAGAATTATATTGCGACTTGCTTAGTAGAAAAACCCACATCGTGGTCATCTTGGATTTCGGTTCTATACCACAGGCTATTGCATTGGAAGCCACAAATATTAAAACTCTCATTTTACTTTTTTTAATGATTATATGTTACATTAACCTCAAAACTAGCTGTAAATTTTATTTTTTTACATATTTACTGTTACTCTACTACAATAAATACACCTTGCACTCATATAAATTACAAACCTTCCCTTTTAAAGCAACAACAACGTACAACTATTTTTATATGTATATACCGTTAGCTTTAAATGAATTTCACGACTCGTTCAGCGCGCTGTCGCCGTACACAATCATAAAACTTCTCGTTTATATGCTTTTAATGTAACTGTATCTCTTGCCAAGTCAAACACTCGGCGGAAGGCGAAACCGAGAATAGCGCTAGTAAACAGTTGTAAGCTTTCAGGCGCGCGAAAATTCACACACATACTTACATGGCGCGCTGTTCATGCGCTGCCGGGCTTAACTTTAGTTTCGACCGCCTTAACATTCGTTCATTTAGTCACTTTCCACATTTTGCAAAAACAAAATAAAACAAAAAAAAATACAAAAAGAAATAAAAAAGTTTAAAACTTTTATTTATCCGCCAGCTTTTACCACTTCCTTGCGCATTTACGTTGCTTTCCGGGTAAGAGTGCCTGCCTACACACACACGCACACACGCATGTGCCTATATCTACACCACTACACTCGCTTTGCGCAGCCAAGCGTGTTGCTCAGCCAGCGGTATAAAGTAAGAAAGTAAAGAATTTTAAAAAATGAAAAACGAATAACGATGAATGCAGCACGGAGAAAGCTACAATGAAATCAAAACCTGCCTTTGGTGAGTGAAACTGAAAAAACAAAAACTTCACAGAAAAAAGTCCGCGCAACGCTTTCCACTCAGACACAGCAGAAACAAAAACAAAGAAAAAACCATAAAAACGCAAATAATTAGTGTCGGTGGCGAATTATACATATAAACAAACAAACATACTCAGAAGTCTGCGGAGCCGCGGTTTAAGTTAACTTTTGTTACGTTTTTATGTTGACTTGTGTAATTGTTGTGTTCGCAGGGAAGTCGGGAAGTCTCAATCGCTTGTAATTGTAATTAAACCTGTATGCCGGATTTGCACTCCCGCAGATTGCTCCACAGTTGAATTATGCGCCTGCTGGTATGCTGCAAGCTGGGCGCCCCAAATTACCGCTGACATTTGACGGAATGGAATGAGTTGCAATTCCCGTCGTGTCCAATTGAAAACACGCAAAACGAAACATTCGAAAATTTTGAGTTAATTAAAATTCGAAATTCATTCGAGTCTCAATTACACAAAGCATTCAACGAGATGAACATCGAGAACGCAATAAGAAATTGAGAAATAAGATAGAAATAAATAAACAATAAAAAGTAGACGACGAGTGCTCCACTAGACTGGGAAATGCAAATATGACGCAGGGAGGGTGGCTAAGAGACTCGCAGACTCGGTGGACATTGCGCAATCATCAATCATTGTTGGCGAAAACAAAAGCACCGTTATTTGTTTTTATTTCCACCGACTGAAATGTGTAGAATATCAAGCGACAGTGATAGCCCATCCTTGTAGACAAGTGTCGGCTGGGTCTAAGAGTGTTAGCACTAGGGAAATAACCACACTCCATTTATATATGAACAGAGTGGAACTGTGGTACGGAGCAAAGGTCGGCCTGAAGTTGTTAATTGGCCACGTGTTGTTTATTATAGTTAAGAATATTCCTGAATGCATTGAACCTTACTAAAGCAACATAAATATATTGATGTGTGTATATATTATGGATATGTGAGCTTGGAGACTTGAGAAATATTTTCTGCTCACCGATCTGATCAGAAAATCAAATTTTATGCTGTGGAAACGAAGATATCTGAAGTCAGCTTAGTAGGTGCAGAGCTATACTACGAAAAATGTAGAGGACAGAAGAGACATAATTCCACTACTAAAATCATCAATCTTCTATTCTTAAATTTGAAACGATGGAGGCCTACTTTATTCCAAGTAGTATCTGTAAACATGATAAATCAATGTAAAAAGCATAAGAATGTATGATTAGACTTTTGCCACTTGTGCCACTAACCGAATTTGTAAAGAAAAATACTTTTGAAGGGCTTCTCATTGAAACGGCAAAGTGTAAGAGCTTGGGCGAGTGAAAAAGTGAGAGACTGCTGACTGCTAAGTGATTGCTCTGAGCTTGCTTTCGAGGTGAGTGCAAACTATTCACTGTCAACTAGATAACATAACGCTCGCCACCCACATACACAAGTTGTGGCTGTTCGATTCACATGCTAGTGATTGTTGAAAGTTAGAGCACTCAAAAAAGTTGTATGCTGCTTAAGAGTATGCAATGGTCGTCGAATTCAGTTCAAAAACTATTGAATGTTGACTAAGCATATTGGTATGTAGACAACTTTGTAGGAAATTTGTACAGCTGAAGAGCTAAATTTGGTTTGCTTTTGAATGCCTATAATGGAGAATGTCATTAAGCCTTGAAATGTGAATTATGGAAATTATTGGTTTGATTCGCTGTGTTAATATCAGTTAAGTGTAATTGAGGTAAAGAGAACACAAGATTTGCTAAATTTTTTGAAAATTTAAAAGATCATAAAATATTCTACAAGTATTTACCTATGCATATATATAAGTATATTAAGTATAGGTGTACTATGCGCCTTATTCTGCTTCCCAAGCAATGTCAAGATGTATTAATATATTCATGTT